AAGTTTTAAAAAACAGATACAGACAAAGCTGATTTCTAAAATTTATCAAAAAAAAAAAAATTTATCACAGGCCCTGAAATAACTAAAGTGATCTTGAAAAAGACAAAATAGGAGAAATCACCATATCTGATATTAAAATTCAATTATGTTAATAATCAACATAATGTGATAGTAGCACAAGGATGAACATACAGATCAATGGAACAGAAAAGAAAACTCAGAAACAGATCTACATAAATATGCCCACCTGGTTTTTGACAAATGCATGAAACTATTCAATAGAAGGATGTCCTTTTCAACAAATGGTACCTAAGCACCCGAATATTCACAGGCAGAAAAAAATGAACTTTGGACTAAATCTCATACCTTACACAAAAATTAACTCAATGTAGATCACACACTAAAAATGTAAAATGTGAAACTACAAAACTTTTAGAAAAAAGTAAGGAAAAAATCTTTGAGATCCAGAGCTATGCAGAATTCTCAGACTTGATGTCAAAAGCATGATCTATAAAAGAAAAATATTGGTAAACTAGACCTCATTGAAAGCAAAAATTTTGCTCTACAAAGGTGCCTGTTAAAAAAAATAAAATGCCAGCCCACAGACTGCAAGAAAATATGTATAATTCATCATCTATAACAAAGGTCTAGTATTTAGAATATATAAAGAATTCCCTAATTGCATGGAAATGAAGGGAGATCCTCATTGCTATACAAAATTACATATAAGAGGTTGTGAGGGGACTGGGAAAATAAACAAGGAGAGAAATGAATTACAATAGATGGGGTAGAGAGAGAAGAAGGGAGGGGAGGGGAGGGGGGATAGTAGGGGATAGGAAAGGTAGCAGAATACAACAATTACTAATAGGGCATTATGTAAAATTGTGGATGTATAACCGACGTGATTCTGCAATCTGCATTTGGGGTAAAATTGGGAGTTCATAACCCACTTCAATCTAATGTATGAAATATGATATGTCAAGAGCTTTGTAATGTTGTGAACAACCAATAAAAAAAATAAAGAAATAAAAAAATTAAAATTAAATAAATAAAAAAGGAACGAAAAAAAAAAAAGAATTCCCTAAACTCAACAATAAAAAAACAAACAACCTAATAAGAAAATGGACAAAAACAGGGAAACACTTTCCCAAAGAAAATAAATGAATGGCAAATAAGCACATGAAAAAATGTTCATCATCATTAACCATTAGAGAAATGCAAATTAAAACTATAAGAATCTGGAGGCTAAAGCAAGAGAATCATGAGTTCAAAAGCCAGCCTCAGCAACAGTGAGGTGCTAAGCAACTCAGTGAGACCCTGTCTCTAAATAAAAATACAAAATAGGGATTATGCTCAGCCATAGAAAGCTTGCCTAGCACATGCAGGGCCCTGGGTTCGATCCTCAGCACCACATAAAAATAAATGAATGGAATAAAGGTATTGTATCCAACTACAACTAAAAAAAAAATATATATATATTTAAAAAAATACAAAATAGGGCTGGGAATGTGGCTCAGAGGTTGAATGCTCCTCAGTTTAATCCCTGGTACCAAAACAAAACAAAAAGGCCCCCCAAACTACAAGAAGATGTCATTATACACCTATCAAAATAACTGAAATAAAAAACAATGACACCAAATGCTGGCAAAGATGCAGAGAAACTGGCTTTCTTATACATTGATAATGGCAATGTAAAATAGCACATCATTTGGGAAATAAACTGGCAGTTTCTTATGAAACTAAATGTGCAACTACCACATGAGCCAGTAATTGTATGCATGAGCATTTATCCCAGATATATGAAAAATTATGTAGATATAAATGTATGTACATGAATGTTTAAAGGAGATTTATTTGTAATAGAAACTGGAAACAACCCAAACATCCTTCAATAGGAGAAGAGTTAAATGGAGGACTCAGCAATAAAACGGCAAGATGGGCTGGGGTTGTAGCTCAGTGGTAGAGTGTTCACCTAGCATGTGTGAGGCACTGGGTTTGATCCTCAGCACCACATTAAACAAAATGAAATAAAGATACTGTGTCCACCTACAACTAAAAAATAAATATTAAACAAAGGCAAGAACTATAGATACACACAACTACTTGCACTGAATCTCCAAGGAATTATGCTAAGAGATAAGAGCTGATTTTAAAAGATCACATTCTGTAAGATTCCATTCATACAACATTCTTCCACTGACAAAATTATAGAATTGAAGAATATATCAGTCACTGATAGGGTCTGGGAGGGGAGCATAAAAAAAAGAGATTGCAAAAGGGCAACTAGAGAGCCTTTTAGTGATGGTCTGGGTCCTGCCTGTATCATTGCCAATATTCTGGTTGTAGTGTTGTAGTACAGTTTTACAACATATTACCATTGAGCAAAAGTGGGTAGAGGGTATATGGGATCTCTGTGTTATTGTTACAACTGAACAGGACTCTGATTATTGCAAAATTAAAAGTTTGATTAAAAAAGACCAGGTTTGGTTTCCAGCTCTGCCATCTGCTAATTAGATAGCTGAAACCTTGAGATTTTAAAACTCTATCTTCAATTTCCTTATTGGCTAAATGGGACAATACCATTTGAAAGTGTTATGAAAATTAAATGCCATACAGAAAGGGTCTGGCACATTATGCATAGCACAGATTGCTTTAAAAATAGCCTCTATATAAATATTTTTCTGAACAGTATCATTCAAATGTCCACAATTGAAGCTACTACAAAGCCATTTACTTAAAAAGTCTCTTTCTGAAGTTATTTTGGCCAAATAAAAATGGGAATGGGGGAGAGGAAACGTTTTTTGTTGTTTCAAATTAAAAGATTAATTTCTAACTAGAATTTAAAATCCTCACAATGGATAAAATGAATTTAATATAGAACTACAATTAGTCAAAAACAAATCGGGGCCAGGCACGGTGGCACACACCTATAATTCCAGTGGCTTGGGAAAGTGAGGCAAGAGGATTGCGAGTTCAGCAAAAATGAGGCATTAAGTAATTCAGTGAGACCCTGTCTCTAAATAAAAGACAAAATAGGGCTGGGGATGTGGCTCAGTGGTTGAGTGCCCCTGAATTCAATCTCCAGTATTACCACCTCCCCCACCCAAAAAAAAAAAAAAACCAAATTGGGAAAGAAAATTTAATATTATTTAACAAATCTTATTTCTCTTGATAAGGAAGCCAGTAAAAGTTAACATTCATATGCATTGGGAAAAGGTTAAGACTGAGTTTTCTAAAATATGCTTCGGGTACCAAGTTGGATTTGAGCCCTCTGTTTCTGAATATTTTTCCTGCATCCCGAACTGAAAGAAACCAGGAGACAGTGAACCAGCCAAATTTGCCTGTTCCGAGGTCTAGGAAAGCAGCAAAAATTAAACTAGCCTTTTGAAGAGAAGTTAAGAGAGCAGGTTCTGAGAGATACTCAAGTGCACTTTACCCCAGAAGATGAGGAGATTTTTGAAGCACACAATTGATCTCTAATGAGCTGCACTGGGCACCTCCTCTTTAAAGTTCATCAAGTGTTTGGCCAGAGCCCTGACTGGAGGGGCTTTTGAAAGAGGTGAAAAGGAAAGGGATGTTTTATCATTCAGATTATTTTCTTCCCATCACAATCCCAAATGACCTATTTGTGTTGAAATGAGATATTTTAGTAACAAAAATGTAAAGTGGGAATACCGGCCTGGAATTCTGGGGCTCAGGATCCTGGCACCATGGCCAGAGGGGAGCTTCCAGGGTGAAGTGAAAGAGATGTCCCAGATTCGATTCTCCTGCCCTTTGCTAAATGTAAACTCCCTCAGGTACCATAAAATTGAGTCTCCAGGCAGGTTTTCTGGTAGATAAATGTCTCTCCATGTCTGCTTGGAGACAACTGTTCCTCAGACCTGTAACTTGGCTTCTCCAAAATGGACTTGGGAAAAGTTGAAGAGTGGGGCATGAAAAGTGTATAGATAAGAAACTCAAAAAGGAAATGACCCAATCTAGGTGCAGGACTGACTCTCTCCTCTCCCCTTCTCATCAGTTTTCTCCAGATTTCCTTTCTCTGGGGCCTTTTACACGAGCTCACAGTAGTGAGACACTGGAAAGTGGACAGTCAACTCTACTGTTCCTTCCACAAACACAGCAAAGATATAAAGGGAGCAAGACACAATGTAAGGATTTTATTTGTATCCTGGTCAAACAAATAAAACTTATAAAGCAACAATGGAAGAAATCTGGACACTGACTGGATATTTGGCAACATTAAGGAGTTACTTACTACTTTTACTAATAACCTTTTTCATTAATGGTAATGTGTTTTTTTTTTTTTTTTTAAACAAGGCCTTTATCTTGAGCGATCTTATGTTTTCTAAGGCCACTGTACAACGTCTGGAATTTGCTTGGAGATCATGGGGGCATAGGTGAACTGGGCTGGCCTGGACATGATCGCTGTTGAAACTGAGAGGTGTACATTACAGTTCTTTCTACTATCTTCGCTACTTTTGTATATGCTTGAAATTTTCCTACTATAAAGTTAAAACTTAAGATTGGTGACTGGTTCTCCTCCAGACTTCACTGCTCTTCGGGGCTTGCTGCTGGCTGGGCAGGGCAAATTCAGCTCCCTTACCCAGCGCAGCTGCAGGGGAAACCCTGGACTCCATCCTGCCAGGGTGCGTCCAGGGGGGCTTTCTCCATCACCAAGCACCCCTCCTCCCCCAAGACGCCAGAAGTTGGCCAGCTTCTACTCTTAACGTCCCCAAGCACCGGAGAAGGGGCAAAGCCACCAGGCCGACGGGGACTAGGGGGCGTGCAGGAGAGCCCCAGGTGACCCAGGCTAGTGGCCCCCTCGACTCCGCGCAGGGGTACCTGGTCGCGGGAGCAGTGGACAACGCTGCGAGCCAGGCGGCGCCGCAGAGCGGGGGACAAAGCGCGCGGCCGTGGCCCCAGCTTGCGCGCGCCTGGCCGCCGCTACCAGCGCCCACCTGGACACAGGTGTGCGGGCGGGGCAGGGCGGGCCCGCTCACCTTGAGGATGTTGTCGAAGATGGTGTCGCGGAACTCCAGCAGAGCCTTCTGGTCGAATTCGCGGCCGTGAATGATGCGCATCTGCTTGAGGAAGGTGGACTTGCCGCTCTCGCCGGCGCCCAGCAGCAGGATCTTGACCAGGCGCCGCACCGCGCGCCGCTCGCGGGCCAGCAGCGCGTCGATGTCGCGGCTGCGC